ACGTAAGCGCTATTTGTACACGTCGGTCGAAAGAGGTAGGTAAAAACACAAGGTAGAAATGTGGCTCAAGTAGATTGGGTTCGGGCCCTCCCAGAATACAACAACAAAGCACAGCGAAAGCATCTCGACTCTTGAAGATGGAAAGCGCTTGAAGTAGATTGGGATCTGGGAATCCAAGAATTCAAACTTTCAACGACGGGCGTGCACACACGCTTTAAGAAACATGCCGCCCCTTGATAGGTCAAATCGCCATACCAAGAGAGCGTGTGGGCAAGCCGGCTCTAGACCTCTAAACTAGAGACAGCCTGCTGGTAGCACGCTGCCAAGGTATGTCGCTCGCTTATATGGACATCGATCCTAAGCGGGCCTACTGTCAACCCGTGGACGCAAGGAACCTGAAAGGCCATGTGTGGACTTTGCGAGCGGGACGTAGCCAGCAAAGGCGGCCAAGGATGGGCCGAAGGGGAATGACACAAGCGCAACCTTGGAAAATTGCTCATCAGTACTACGCGGGTTGACAGCATTTCCTTTCGCTACGCGCCTCATCGGGTCGAGGTTCAGCGAATTACCCCCCTGTCCAAGCCCCTTGACCTGCGTGGGTGTGTATCCTTGGCGGTCAGCTATACGATTCGTGCGCCCCGAACTGCACACCCAAATGTTTCTTATGTGGATAAGGGGGGCTCTGCACGACAGAAAAAGGCCACGGGCGAATCATGTGCGCAGTGGGCCTAAACCAAAATCGTGACTTCGCGCAGTCGTACGGCAGTGATCGCTGCCTAGCCTAAGGTTTTCGAGAATGCTGGTCCACACGACTTGCGCACACTGCCAACTACTGGCACCTCTCACGGCCTGCCTGCTCATCCGGTGACAGCCACAGGACACGCAGAGAACTCACACCGACATCGTACCGCCAGCACCTGAGGTTTACCAGCGTCCCATACACGTCCACTGGTGAATGGACCGCCCCGCTCGATCGCATCACCGGGAGCACTTGGGCCCACGTCTTTTCCCCACGGCTCTGGCATCACTGGCAGGCGATCCAACGCACATGTGGCCCACACTCAGAACTGCAGAAAAGATCGATGTTCGAGGTCTGGCATCAAGCCCAAAGCTCAGCTACAAGCCACACGTCTCAAAACAAACAAGCATGACCTGAAACAACTGACAAACTGCTGCGAACACTCTCAACAAAAAACTACTATATTGCAACCTCGGTCACATCAAAACAACGGGTACGAGACGCCCACTGCTCACAATATTGCCTGCTCCTCCGATGCTGCCCCAAATTGAAGGGCGCTCCTCCGGTTCAGTCTCTTGATTTCATCAAGGATCTCTGAAGGCAACGCCTTCCCGCGCTCGCCTGCCTCCTTCATCTGCTTCTTGTCCCACTTGATCCACTGGCGCCGCAGAACCGCATACATGGAGACCCTACCGTCTACGAGTACGCTGCCTTCGCCCTTGTGCCGCTCCCCATCTTCAACGCTATCATGTCGCTGCTTCATTTAGGTCGGGCATGTCCCCAAACAGGCGGGTTTGGGGCGAAAAATACAAAAAAAATACGCAACCAATACCCGAAGATAGTCGAACAATACTCAAACAATCGTCCCCAGACACTGTGCTTCCCATGTTCGAATATTCCTCCTGTAGGGGGGACACGCCCCAGGGGAGCTCCCCCTCCCCCTCCCCCTCCCCCTCCCCCTCCTCCTCCTCCTCCTCCTCCTCCTCCTCCTCCCTCCTCCTCCTCCTCCTCCTCCCTCCTCCTCCTCCTCCTCCCCAGGGGCTCCTGTAGGAGCCCTCGCCCGAGTTCCGTACCGCACTCCAGAAGCGCGGTCGTGCCTCGCCCTCCCCGTCCTCCCGAGCGTCGCCGCCTCCCTCCACCAGGTCCCGGGTGACCGCGGGGGGGACCCTGCGCAGCCCTTTGAAGGGGCCCCATCTTTTTCCATATTTTCTGGGTTTTTGTTTCCCCCCCCCCCACTTCCCATATTTTCCTATATGTTCTGGGGGATCGCCGATTAATTGTGTCTGTGTGTTTCTTTCCCTCCTGACCCTTGTACAGTGGGGCCCCGACCACAAGAAACCCTCCAAAAGACACCCAACCCATGACCCCAGGACGTCAATCGTCCACGCTTTCCGTGGCCAAACCATCGAAACCCACCAAACCCAGGGCACCCTGGAGGCAAGCACGGTGCTTCTTGGCATGGGTCTCCACTCTATGGCAACGAGTGGGCACACTGGGAACGGATCCTCAGCCCGTGATGCAGTGTCTGGAATAGGGACACCAAACAACTGCATGAACACCAACTGTCGGATCTCTGCGCGCACTTCTTGGATCGGCGCTGAACCCCCGTCTCTGGCGCGCGGAGCGCCAGGGGCAGCGCCTGAGGCGTTGCCAGGAGGGCCCAGCCAAGATCCGAAAAGTCCGCACGGAGTTCCGAACATCTGTGTGTGTTGGTTATTGCTCTTCGATGTCGTGTCCCGAACACTGCATGCTTAGACGACCCCATGTCACGGTTCAGTCCAAACTCACCGCTCTCCAAAACAGAACGCGCCGTGAGGGAAATTGTAAGACAGAGGGCGTTGCGTCGGAGCATGCGAAGACACGTTCTTGAGCAAACATGGTGTGATTTGGCGTGGTTTCGCACTTCGCGCCGCCTCAGGTGAGATTTGTCGGTCCAGCGCGCTATCTAGAATCGCGAGCTTCCTGGCATCACTGGGCGCACCCCCCTGTAGAAAACGAAGGCACACTGGACATAGGGGATACATCGGATAATACAACACCCGAAATGGGTACGGAAAGCATGCGCACGGCCGGCCTAGAACATAATAACATCCTTCAAGAATATGAGACCATCCGCCGGCCAAACTGAAAAACATTCAAAGGTACCCTTCCCCCAGGAGGCACAATAACACCCAACAGACACGAAGGACACCAGGGCACCCTCCCCAAACCGACCTCGATATCTGAGACCTCGGTTCGACCGCACGATGCCCGACATCTCTGAAGGGGCCCTGGGACACACAAATAAATACACACAAATAAGAAGATTCCCAATATTTCCTTATATTTTCTGGGTTTCTGTCTTCCTCCCCACTTCCCATATTTTCCTATATTTCCTGGGGAATCGAGGATTAATTGTGTCTGTGTGCTCTTTTCCCTCCTGAATCTCAGATTTTGCCCACAACCAAGAGCGGCGGCCCCCTTTGGACAGGCGACCTCGAGGAGGAGGAGGAGGAGGAGGAGGAGGAGGAGGAGGAGGAGGAGGAGGCGGAGGCGGAGGAGGTGTCTCTCATGGACAACATCCGCGGCGACACCGGCGGCGTGGCTTTCCCGGGCGCGTTGTCCGCGCCCAGGCGCAGCGCTCCCCAGGCTCGCGGCCAGTGCCGAGGGGCAGCTCCAGAGGGCAGCGCTTCTGCTGCGTTGGCGTGAGGCGCCCCAACGGCTTGCAGAAGCGCCTCACGAGCTCGTGCCAAGGGCCTTGGTAGCTCCCCTTGGCGGCGCACACCAGGGGGTAGGGCCCAACAGACTCCCAACATGGGCCCAACACGGCCAAAGATGGCCCCAAAAGACGGCCCACGAGGCCCCCTGGACAGCTCAAGACAGCCCTAAGAGGGGCCCCATCGGGGGAACTCGAATTGAACTTCCTAGCTCGCCGACCCGCAAGATCGTCCCAAGACGCCCAGGATGGCCCCCAAACGGCCCATGACGCCGGCTTAGCAGGGCCGTTTTTTTATCGTGTCAATTTCGCCGATGTTCGCTGCCGGTTCCGATGCCGTTATTTTACCGGTTCCGTCGCCGTTTTTGTTACCGGTTTCGGCTCCGGTACCAATCCTGGAGCCGTTTTTTCCCGTGTCTGGTCACCGTTTTTTGCCGCTCCCATTTTCAAGAGACATTTTTTTTCGGCAACGGTGCAAAAACGGCCCCTGCCGTTTCTGGGGCCCACTAAGGGTATCGGAGAGGCTGCTTCTTAGAAGGCGCCGGCCCTGCATCTACAGAGAAGACCCGCGCCTTCTAAGAAGCAGAGCTGCTTCTAAGAAGCCATCCGCCCTCCTTCCCCCCCACCCTGCGCGCCGCCAGCCTTGTTCAAGCTTGGCAGGAAATTCTGTAGGGGAAACCTAAAGGCAATTGACGATGCCGTTATTCCACGGCATTATCCCGGAGGTGCCCCGCGTCCCGCATCGGGATGCTCATGTAAACGCTGCAAAAAAAAACACATGTATTGTATAACGGGATGCGTAAGATACGTCCAACAGGTATCGGGATGCGGGATATGTCCTTTCTCACGTAAATCGATACCACCATATAAAAACGGCATAAATGCTGATGTAGGCATGCCCCGACCCAGAAAAAAACAAAGCTACACGGATGGAGGGTGGCGTCCCTGATCTTCTCCCCATCGCAATGACCATCGGCGCGGTTTCCGTTTTAAAATTACGTCCCTTCGTTGTTTTTGGAGCCTCCTGCGGCGATTTGAAATGGATTCGCGTGAGCGGAAAACTGTGTGGGGGGCTCCAAGGTGGTGCCACACTCGTTCACGAACGTCGCCAACTCCTGGCGAGCAGGGGGGCACTGATATGCCGTGCCAAGCAGTGCCGTGCCGATGATGCGCGCGCACGAATGGTGATGTGCCGTGCCGTGCCGTGCCGTGCCGATGCTGGTCGGGGTGAGGGTCGCTCACTTCTCCCTTCACCTCTCTCCTCCTCCCCCTCCTCCTCCTCCTCCTCCTCCTCCTCCTCCTCCCCTTCTCTCTCTCTCTCTCTCTCTCTCTCTTTCTCTCTCTCAGGGCGGGGCTGGAGGAGGAGGAGGAGGAGGAGGAGGAGGGGGGAGGAGGAGGTGGATGGGAAACAAAAAGATGGGGAGGAGGAGGAGGAGGATGGAGATTCGAAACCAGTCGAAACCATATCCTAGCCGTTTTGGCCAAAGCATGGTAGTGAACTGGGAGTTTGTACCATCGCCGAGGAGGCGTTGGAAGACACCTATCGGGCGGGCACTTCAACGCGGCATGACGCAGCCGCCGCTCCAGCGCCAGTCCCAGGGCGACGCTGACACGGTGCCCTACGGCCTTCCCGACGGGCATCCAGGGGGGCACGTCGCTTCGGGCATCCCCGTCGCGCCGCCTTCGCCCGTTCCCGCTGCCGCCGCAGCAGCGGCGGCGCTGGATGCCGCGGTGGATTCGGCGGCGTTTGATTCGGTTCCCCCGACGCAGAGGGCGAACCCCAGGGAGTTGCCAGCGCCGTGGATCGCCGAGAAGGAGAGGCTGGAGGCGCAGCGCAAGAGGACGGACGCGGAGACACAGCTCCTGCGCGAGACTTTGGCCAGGCAGGAGGCGGCAATGGAGACGATGAAGAAGTCGATGGAGGAGTACAAGCGGAAGTGGGAGGTTTCAGCGGATCCGATGAAGACGCCACCAGCCAGGGTGGTGTGCCCTTTCGCCTGCGCCAGTCGACGAGGCGGAGATGGCGCCAGGCGAGGCCGTCAACGAGGCGGAGACGGTCAGTTCGTCTCCAGAGGAGGAGGCGAAGGTGGCGGCCACGCAGCGCAGTGGCCAGGCGGAGGCGGCGGCCACGCAGCGTGGCGCCGAGGTTGAGGAGGCATCGGATGGTGGCCAGTCGCCTGGCGATGACGACAGCTTGGCGGCCCACCTGGCCTGGGCGCACGACGCTCAGCCGCGCTGGGACGACGAGCACCGCGAGGAGCGGCTGAAGCGAAAGAACGGGGAGGCGGTGAAGATGTCCTGGATGATAGCTGAGGCCAAGAAGAAGGAGGATGAGGAGAGGGAGGCAGAGAACGATAGAGCTCTCGAGCAGGGCATCCAGAATTCCCTCAGCCCTTCCTTAGGCTTCGAACCAATCGATACCGAGTTCGAGGAAGAGATCCTCGAGGCGCCCGCGGAGTCCGACAAGCGCGTCGACAAGTCAACGGCTCCGTCGACTGCGGAGGAGCGCATCAACTTGAAGAGGTCGGGTCAGCCTCTGACGATCAAGCGTGGCGGCAAGGTCAGGGTCACGCCCGAGCTCGTGAGGTCCATCGTGGAGGCGAGGACGGGGCGCACTTCCGACGACTCTGGCGCGGCACCGTCGACAGGGGCCGCGGGGCCGGCAGCGTCGTCGGCCGCGCAGCCGCCGTCTGCGCCAGCTACGCCTGCGTCGCGCCAGGACTTGGGGCTATAACCACATCACGAGAATCGTGATTGCTCATTTGCACGCGCCCGAATGTCATCGCGACTGTCACTGCGGTGACGTTCGCGGTGACATTCGAGCGCGGTGCCGCAGCGTCCCGCCAGGACACGGCCGGCAGCGCTGCGCATGCAGGTGGTTTTGCTGCTGGTGAGCTCGAGGAGCCCGCCGCGCCGCCGCTCTTCCTCGACTCTCATTGCTCATCTCATAAATCCTGCTCAACTCCTTCTTCCCCTCAGCATCCCACTCTTGTTTCACTCCTGACTCCCAGTTCCTGGCAATATCATCCCCAACTCCTCCTCCTCCTCCTCCTCCTCCTCCTCCTCCTCCTCCTCCTCCTCCTCCTCGCCCTCATGTCATTCTACCTCCTCCACAAGTTCTTTCCCGCGCATCCCACAGCGTGGGTCTCTCATCCCTAACTCCTCGACTCACCCTCCCATTCGCCCCACCATGTGTCCTACTCCTCACTCCTCCCCAACACCTTCCGTCCACGTCACCTTCTAATTCCCTCAGCTCCTCCTTCCATGTCTTTTTCACAACTCCTCTCCGACTCCTTACCTCATCCTCGTTGCTCTTCGCATGGCCCCTTCTGTCATGCCCCCCTGGCCATCGCACTCGCCAGCTCCCTCGATCGTTGCCGCAACTCCCCCCTGCGCTCTTCGCGAGGACCCTACGCCAGAGAAGCTCGATCGCAAGGCGATGTGCGTCGCGGCCCAGGGCAGGGCGAACGCGGTCCAGGACCGCGCGCCGCCCCGCCCAATTACACGCGGACGTCGCTGGGCGCCCTCCGCTCCGCCCCTGCCCCGCTGCCCGCTTTCGCCATGGAGGGCAGGCGCGAGAGATCTAGGGGGCGAAATCCAATGCCGATGATGGGCCAACACCCCTAGCCCCAGGACCTCGGGGGAAGAGCGGTGGACTAAGGTCTTGGCGGATGGCGGAAGCGCTGGGAGGGCTAGAGGAAGGCAGGGACGGGGGGAAGGGAAAGGGAGGCGAGCAGGAGGGGGAGGAGGAGGAGGAGGAGGGTGAATGATAAGCAACAGAGAAAATTATGGAAGTTATGGAGAGGCGACGTGGCGGGGGGCCCTCTCATGCCCTGGCTTTCTGCCCTCTCGCCATTACTAAGTTCTGCATTCGATGTCCGCGGAGCTTACGTGAGCTCATCTTCCCTCAAGTCATCCTCCAATTTCCTTCGAAGCACATCATTCCCCTTCTTCTTCTCCTCCTCCTCCTCCTCCTCATCCTTCTCTTCATCCTCTCCCCCGCACTCACTGTTTTCCTCGTCGCACCCGCATCCCCCCTCCCCCTCCCCGTCATCATTCTCCCGCCGTCTACGCAACAGCTCCTTTTAGCCGCGACCTCCATTCCTCTCATGGCCCCTTATCCGTACGCAGGCAGCTCAAGCACCAGCTGAAAGCATGGCGTCCGAACGCGAACCAGCCGATCGCGAGTTTATAGACAAACTCGAGCAGGTGTGGTTGTACCACATCGACCAGGCGTGTCAGCAAAGGCGGGAGTCGGCGAGCTCGACTCGTAGGGGGCGTTGGCTGCCTCGAATCCTGGGGGCGTCCATTAACTCGGATCCTGGGGGCTGCGGGACCAGTAAGTGTTCTTGTGGATCTACAGTCTCCTCGCGCCTGCCCTTTGCTGACCCCTGGGAGAAACCCGATCAATTCCAATGCAGCACTCTGAAGTGCCATGAGGCGCAGTTGGACACCAAACTCATTATATATAACTCGGACTTGCTCAAAGCCACCAGGGAGGTCGTGAGCTCGATCTCCCAGTCGACGGCCTACAACGCGTTGATGAAAGTGGCGGCCAGGAACGAGAGTAAATGGCACATGGCTTCCCCGTCCTCAGGCTGGGCCACCGACAAGGCCAAGGAGCCCCGCAACATGATGCGGCACATCTCTCAAGCCCTGGCGCGGCCTGGCAGGTGATTCCACGGGCGGGGGCGACGACCGATTCGATTCGAAGTCGACGGGTGCGGCGCTAGCCTCATATATGGCTCGAGCGCGATCGATTCTCGATAATGTTCGCGACATCCGCATGCGATCCGCTGCCCCCCTCAGGGGGAGTGCCTGGGCAGATTGTTTTCGGACCGACGGCCAGGAGGACTGGCGCCGAGTAAGCTCGAGCAAGCCCGAGCAGAAGCATGAGCAGAGCATGAGAAGAGCATGAGAAGAGCATGAGAAGAGCATGAGCAGAAGCCAAAGCAGAAGCACGAGCATGAGCAGAGCATGAGAAGAGCATGAGCAAAGTCACCGCCAAAAGTCACTGCGGTGACTTTGGCGGTGACTTTGGTTAGCGGCTCGTATCCAGAGGACCCCGAGAAGTCCGGTACCCCCCCGCAGAAGAAGAAGAAAACGAAGGGATCGGACATGCACATCATTGCGGTTGAGCGGGGCTGGAAGCTAGGATACCAGCCAGATACGCAGGCAGCGGGGCCAATAGAGTCTGGCTTGCACGGGGAGGGAGAGCGAGGGAAGGCGGATGGAGGGGGAAGGCGGGGATAGGGGGGGGGGGGGTAAGAGGCAGAGGGAGGGAGGCCGAGGGAAGGGCAGAGAAGCGGCGGCGGAGAACTCGATTGGCCCCAGTAGGCAGCATTCAGGATCCCTACAGACGGACCCAGCACACCAGAGTACGCGCGGGTGACTAAGGAGGACGACGTTCCAGAATTGGTCGCGCACTGGTCCGACGGCATGCGGTGGGAGGTCCCGGGTACAATCGCAGAGGACGAGTTCGACGTGGGGAATAAGCCTGGCTCGCTCATCCTCTACAGAGGCAAGAAGGGTGATCATGAGGTTCATTGTTGTGTCGTGAACCACGCAAAGCGAGGCCAATGGGTGCAGATACGAGTCACCGACGGCACCCAGATCAGCCAGCTGTCGAACTACCGCGACTTCGAGCAGGCGAAGTTGTTCTTCATCGAGCAGACGAAGAAGGTGATCAGTGGCGTGTCTGACAAGGCCGCAGTCGAGGCCGCCAAGGCCGAGTGGGTCAAGGTCAACGGTCGGGTGGTCGCGAAGAAGCCGGTAATGAAGAGGCCTGGGGCGGCAGAGCCCGCGCGCCCGAAGGCCAACGGCAAGCCCGCCAAGAAGGTCGACGACGACGAGAGCGAGGAACACGAAGGCGGAGACACATATGATGAGGATGAAGAGGGCGAGGAGGCGAAGCAGGGCGATGAGGGGCGCAGTGAGGGTCAGCAAGACGACTCCGACCCAATCGAGGACGAGGACGAGGACGAGGACGTCGCCGCTCTGAAGAGGCCCGCTGCTCGCGCCAGGCTAGCGGCTTCGGAGCCAGGGGCGGGCGAGGAGGTTAGCGAGGGCTCCAACGCCGAGGAAGAGTCCGTCAAGAAGAAGCCCGCGGCCATGACAAAGCCGCCCGCTGACCAGGGGCCGACGGCCAAGCAGAAGGCGAGTTCGAGTTCCAGCACGCCGCCCGCCGTTGCCAAGCCACCGCCCAAGCCGCCCGCTGTTGCCAAGTCACCGCCCAAGCCCTCCAACGTGAGGGAAGTGATTCCCGATGATGATGTGTTCGGGTGACGTGATCTAGCGCTCGGTGTCGCGCAGAGTGACAAACATGTTGCCGCGCGTGTATTCCTACGTCGTTTACAATATTTCGACAACCCTCCCCCGTGCCCTGCCCTGCCCCACCTGTCCCCTTCTGTGCAGCATCGCCCGATTGCTCGTCTGGCTTTCTAGGCAGCGTGCATTTCTGTTCGCTCGAGCTCTGGCGCTGCGCGAGAGCTGGCTCCGAGACGGCGGGTGCGATTGCGACCGAGTCGGTAACGACGACGATCGCTCTCGCGACGTAGGAGGGAGGAAGGGCATGGAGGCGCACGATGAAAAGGGTCTGGCGAGGTGGAGGCGGGAACGATTCAGCGCACTTTGGCTAACGTCGCTCCGATGATGACGGCGTCGGCGGCGATGACATCGCACTCCGTCCTCCATATCGCCCCTTTCCCTCTTTCGCATCCGCACCTGCGGTGCCCTTCCCCCCTCGCTTCTCTTTCTGCCTAGCATCGGCAGCTTGGTGCCCCCATCCCCCTCTCAGCGACCTCATCTTCCCTTGCCCCCACCTCCGAGCTACCGATTTCGACGCGATGCCCATCTCCTCTCCTGCAACGCACCCCGCGCCGCCCCTCGCCCATGCCCCGCGGAGCCCGCGCCGCCAGGACTTCATCGACAGCGGCGACGAGGTGAAGGTCTACAAAGCCCTGATGACGGCGTACGACAGCAAGGAGGTTCAGCTCCTCATGAAGGAGAAGGGCTGGAACGACAAGACGGCGACCGCGAAGCTGCTGAAGAGGGACTGCGACAAGGACGGCCGCCTGGTGAACCCGCCGAAGTGGGGCCTGCAGGAGGATGAGGAGGGCGGCGGCGACAGCGCCGAGGGCGGGGGCGAGCCGAAGAGGACGCCTTCCAACACCAAGGCGGGGAAGAACAAGGGGACGGTGGCGGAGGAGATCGAGTTCTGGAAGAAGGTGGAGGCCGCCAATTGGATGGCGCTACCAATGGCAGGGACGGGCCCGTGGCGTCGAGGTTCCAGCGGGCGCTCGATGACGACGCGAAGCTGAACGCGGAGTACAAGGCCATCGTGGGGTCGCAGGTGCAGACGAGGAAGTCGGAGTTCCGCTCCAAGTGGGCGCAGAAGGAGGCGAAGGACGTGCAGGAGCGCGCGATCTCATTTTTTTGTTTGCGCCCCATGGTGCGCCTCCGTCGTCGTCGTCGTCGTCGTCGTCGTCGTCGTCGTCGTCGCGCGTCGTCCCTTGTCGCCACGGCCGTCGCAGCCCGTCGCCATCATCGTGGTCGTGTTTTTCGCCGCCCTCATCTTCGTCATCGTCGCCGTCGATATCGTCGTCGTCGATATCGCCGTCGTCGTCGTCGTCGTCGTCGTCGTCGTCGTCGTCGTCGTCGTCGCAATCGCCGCCTTCGTGAGAGCGTCTCCTCCCCCCCTGATCTTCCTCGTCCTCGTGCTCGCCCTCCTCGTCC